ACATGATCTGAAGTGACATTTCCTGTTCTGGAAGCACCAAGAGCTTATTATTATTATTATTATATTATTATTATTGAGCCCTCTCTGCTGTTCTACTGGTGGGGACATGCTGTCTGGAGGTGGTCAGAGGTAAACTACAGATGCACAAACATTTCTAGGCGCTCACCTGCTATCAACAGGCATCTTGTAAGTGGCACGTGGTAATGAAGTAGGATTGTTACTCAGTGTATGGTGACCTTATCTTAGGGATCTGCCCTAGGCAGAGGGGAACTTTGTGCATGCAGACACTGGCTTCTAGCAGCAAAGCATTTTCATACTGCACAATGCTTCATTCCCCAGACCTCAGCCTCAGCTCTACCAGCCCCAGAGAAAGCCAAGAACAGCCCCGAGGTAACATTGGAAAGGGTGCTGGTGCAAGACACACAATATCTGATCTTAATGAACGCAGTCACTAACTTACTGTGAAACCTGGAGCAGGATTTTACATTTTATCTGAGGTACCTTTTTAAAGTCTCAAACTGCCTGGCCGGGCATGGCTCAGCGGTTGAGCTTCAACCTAGGATCCAGGCGATTGGGGTTCGATTCCCGGTCAGGGCACATGCCCAGGTTGCGGGCTTGATCAATGACTTTCTCATCATTGATGTTTCTCTCTCTCTCTCCCCCCTCCTTTCCTCTCTCTGAAATCAATAAAGATACTTAAAAAAAAAAGTCTCAAACTATTCTGTGAGGTAAGTATTAAGACCATTTTGCTGATAAGGAAATGGGACATAGTTTAAATCAGTGGTTCTCAAACTTTAAGTTGCATTATTCCTTTACACTCTTAAGAATTATGGAGGACCCAAGGAGCTTTTGTTTATGTGGGTTAAATGTATCCATACTTATTTACATATAGAAATTAACACTGAACTTTAAAAACTACTTATTCACATAAAAACAACAATGTATTATCATGTGTTAATATAACACAGCACATCTAGAGATAAAAATGGCATTGTTCTATATTTTTCCAATCTCTTTATCACTGAACTTAATTAGAAGATACATAATATAGCCTCTCAACTCATCACAAAATGAGAGTGAAAAAAGAAACTAACATCTTAATGTTTTTATGAAAATAGTTTCAACCTCATGGATCACCTGAAAGCATCCTGGGGACTCCTAGGGATCCCAGGACCACACTTTGAGAACCACTGGCTTAAATAATTTGCGTGTGGACACACAGCCAGTGTGAAGTGGTGGAGCTGGGTTTCCATTCCAGGCTTGTCTGACCTCACAGTACATACTCTAGCCACTATTCCACACTCACTGCCTCCCTCCCTCATCCTCTCTGGGAAGCAGGAGCCTTCCTCTTGTAAAATGAGGGTGGAATTCTGGATGATTTAAGGCCCTTTTGGCTCTGACACTTCATGATTCTGTCTGGATGGTGGCAGCTCTGGGCAGCTCTGAGTCTCAGGCTGCTGCCCACTTAGGGAATCCATGATGTTTGAGTTTTAGTAGGCTGGAACAGTTAGAGCATCTACAGGAGTGGAGAAAGACCAGTGGGGGTTTCCTCCTGTTCTCACATCCTTTTGAGAAGACAACTGTCAAGAAAAGTGCCCCAGCCTGGCCTGGTGGCTCAGTTGGTCAGAGTGTCCTCCCGATATGCCAAGGTTGCAGGTTTGATCCCCAGTCAGGGCACATACAAGAATCAGCCAGTGACTGCATAAATATGCTCAACAACAAATGGACATTCTCTCTCTCTCTCTCTCTCTCTCTCTCTCTCTCTCTCTCACCAATAAATTAAAAAAAAAAAAAATAAAGGGAAAAAGAGAAGAAGTGGCCCACCACATCACCAGCTGTGCCATACCCATTTCAGCTCCTGACACAATCACTCTGCCCTTGGGCAGGAGAATGGGAGTGGGTGAAGGTCTCCATTCCCACTGCCTGCTTTTAGACGAAGTCCTGAGGATGGACCTCTCTAAATACCACTTTCCTTTCCTCATATAACCCTTAAAAAACCACTGAGCAGAGAAATGTTTACCAAAGGGCATTTCAGGTGGCAGATAGAATAGGCAAAGTCACTGAAACAGAAAAGAACCAGGAACTTAGTTTTGTTTTCAACTAGCATTTTAACTGGCCTTCCTGCCTGGTCTCTCCCGACTCACATTCGTCCTACACATTGACTATGCCATATTAATTTTGAATGTTTATTTCACTTGTTACTCCCTTTGTCAAAAACCTTCCCTGGGTCCTTCTTGGTTGAAATCGAACACCATAGTCTGGCATTCAAGGCCCTTTACCACTGGCTGGTACTCTTTTCTTAACCTGATTTCCCACGGTTCCCCTACATGCATCGTGTGGCAGGCTCACTGTCTTTGTCATGCTTGACAAGTGCTCCCTTCCAGTCCTAAATCTAGGCTGTTCCTAACACTTCACCTGTTTCAGGAACCCCTCCCTGATAGATGTAGCCCAGTGGGGTCCTTCATGCTTCAAAATGTACTTCATCCTTGGCCTGTTTCAGAAACTACCTGGCATTGTTCTTGGCCCAAGGGAAACCCTCAGCCACATCTGAGCTGGAAGCTCGCTGAGGGAGGGAGCAGTGTAATCTGTTTCACTGCCTTCTCCCTCCGGTCCCTGTTACCCACCGGATGGATTATGGTGGTTGGCACTTGTTGGTTTGACCCCTACTGCGGTAGGACTTGGAGCTGCAGACAGATCTGTCTAAAGATGCTGAGAGTAGCCAGAGGAGGAGGCAACAGAGGAAGACTCAGGGCACCCCAGGAACAAGAGAACACAAACTCATACTAGTGGCGTTTAGAGCAAAGAGACTTTTGATAGGGAAAGAAGAGCTGCTTCAAGGTAGGGGATGTCTTATTCCACAATAGATGCTAGAGGTAGCATGGAAGAGGAAAGACAAGCTGGCTCTGCTGTGAGACTTTGGTCAGATAATCAGCCTCTCTGTTTGAGCCTTTGAGCCTCAACTGCCCATCTGTATGAGGAATAATGTTCTTTTCATGGGTACTTAGGCAGAAGAGAGTTACTGTGTGTTAAGATCCCGCATATAATTGATGCTCAAAATATAGTACGTGCCTTAAAAATTTCCACCCCAGATTTTCTGGATAAGAGATTCCCATTACTCTGGATGACATGGTTATAGGCCTTTATGGATGAACTATCCAGCTCTGAAGAGTGTATGGCAGTGCGGGAGAATTCCTTTGCCTTGTAGTCACTACAGACACTGGGTTTGCTGACCCTTTGCTACCATCAGGTGGCCATAAGCATACAGTGCAACCTGGCTTGTCTGTCAGTTCCAAAGAAAGCTAAAACGTAGATTTGGGGTGTGTGAGGAGTCTGGGGAGTGGGGGATCCTGGAGGATACAAGAAAATAGAGTGACTTAGACTCCCTGGGAAGCATGGAACCACCGGGCCAGGAGTTTTATAATACACATAGCTGTTAAATAAAGGATTGTCCTAGCTAGGAGGCACCTTGGAGACTGCCTCTACCCCATCTCCATCTCCAATTAGTATTGTCCACCAGGGTCTTGTGAGATCCAGTCCCACCTAGGTCTCCAGCTTCACGTTGTTCCATTCTCCTACTCACGTTCTGCGCTCCAGAACCACTGTCTTTTTATCTCATTGACACTCCATTACAAGCCTTTGCACATACTAATCTCTATCTAGAATGCCTGCCCTTCTGTCCCCTCCTCTCACCTGTTTAACTTCCACCTTTTTCTCAACTCTCAGCCCCAGCATGACTTCCTCAGGTAAGCCTTCAGTCTAGGTCAGGTTCCTTTGATACATACCCTCATAAAGAAAAAAAAATTTTTTTTTTCAGAGCACTTCTGTGTATTCATGTATGTGATGTTCATTAACATCCATCTCTCACTATGCTATATAAGCTGCAGGAGAGAAATGGGCTCCTTTCTCTGGTATCTCCAGCACCAAGGACAGAGCCTGTTACATAGCAAGAGCTCAGTAAACATGTTTGATGAGTAGAGGCGTTTGTTGGATAGGAGAGAAAGATCTGGAGATCTGGAGAGTGTTAGAAGTTCTGAGGATCTTTCAGCCAAGTCTGAGGCATGCACAGGTCTTCTGTGGAAGTCAACAAAGATGCTTCGAAATCATACTCACTCATGTCAATACACACTGTGAGAGAAAGACCCATGGATTGAAATGCAGAGCACACAGCCCAGATACTGGGGCAGCGTGTGTGTGTGTGGGGGGGGGAGCTTATTCTTAGAGAGGCTGAACAGTCCCATGATTCTAAACAATGGGAAAAGTTTTGAGGGAGGAACTCTTGGCTTGAGAGACGCCAGAGTCAAATGCATGTGAGAGGGAGACAAAGGGACACCTGATAGGGTGTTTCTAGGAGGAAGAGTTAACAGTGGAGTTGGGCATAGAGATATTTCTCCTAGAAAAATACTAACTTCTTCCAGGAAAGTGGTCAAACGCTCCTTAGGGTAACCGAAGCCTAAATGGATGAGGGTATGGATTTCATTTCAAACGGCAGTTAACTTGTCACAAACTCAGAAAAGATAAAAAAATAATCATTTTAGAATATATTTTTAAAATTTGCAAACCCACAAAATTGGTGCTTTAAATAATTTTTGGAGAGGTAATACTCTTTATTTCCAGAATTAGGTGAACAGGAGGGATGTGTGTGTATATGTGTGTGTATATAGTATTTTAGAATTTAAGTGAGCTGTTCCATTTCAAGAATCTTCTGAAACTGAGTCTTAAGTATAGCTTTGTTATAGTTGAGATGTCGTAAACTCCCAATAATTTTAATACCCCAGGGTCAACACATGCCCAATTAAAAAATATTTGAGCTTTGTAATCAATATTCTAATTCTCCATTTGCTTGTTCCTTTCCTCTGTTAATGCAGAAATAGAGTCATTTCTAATTTCACTCTAGAAGATTCACAGAGAAAAAACATTCAAACTCAAGGAGACTGGACAAGTCAGAGAACAGCAGGATGAGTATGAATTATACTGGAGGAAGTGGTAGAGAGGAAACTGAGGCCCGGGGGAAGCATCTGGCATTGGGGGAATTGGGTGGCTAAAGCTGCTTTTCGTTCCCAGGCTCTAGGCTCTAAGACGGCTCCAAGATGGCCCTGCCTCTTGGGTCTCCAGATCTTCACCTCAGTGCTGTCTCCACCGAGAACTGTACTTTCATGCCGGCAGTGTTGGCTCCTTTCTTCTCTGTTCTTGTTGCCTTGTCTTTGGTTACTTTATAGACCAGGACCAGTAGAGTGACTAGAGCCATCAGGAGTATAAGGAAGAAGAGAACTTTTACTAGGTAAGCAGGATCACATATGGCAGTGGTGAGTGTACCCTTGTCCCATAAGAAGGCTGGAAGCTGTGGGGAAGACATAGGTTTCCCCCAAAGAGCTGAGAGATGTGGTATAAGCAGACTGCCCAAACATCCAAGAAAACACCAAGAGAATCGGATTTGCCCTTTGTTATATCCCAGGAATGGGTGTGGAGCGGCAGCCATACATCTACTGACCCTGATGCTCACACAGCAGGCAGAGAAGTTTGTTCAGCAGGGTCGAACAACTGCTTCCAATGAAAACATAGTCCTGAGACAACAGTTCAACTGGCAAAACCGCTGGGTGGTGGGTGGGGCTTCTGGGGCTTTATGATGTCACTTGAGGGTGAGGCTAGGGTCTGAAGTGAAGGTTCCAGTCTGGAAATTGCTACCCTGTGAAATGCCCTTTCAATACTCATGTTTTTTACTCTTCACTTTGAAATAATTTCATTTTTTTTGCTAGGGCTAGATTTTTATTGTTTCCTCATTCCACTATGCTAGGCTATGTTCCCAAGGAAATTCAGCTTGTATTGAAATTGAAATTTTATATAGGTAGTTGCAAAGATAACACAGAGAGGTCCCAGGTACCTTTCATCCAGTAGACGGACACTGGGCTACATGTGTGCATATAGTTCTATGGCTTTTTACTGTACCTGTAGATTCTTGTAACCGCCCTTGAAGTCAAGATACACAATGAATCCATCAACATGATCTACTGGTGTCCATATTCTACCAGTACAAGTAGAAAGTGTAGAAAACGCACCTCCCTTTAAGTCCCTTTACCCTCCACTTATAATTTTACTATTTTCTCTGTATACATTGAAATTTACATTCAGGCAATGTTATAGTTTTTGTTTCAACTACCAATTTAGAAAACACAGGAGAAGGAAAGACTATTTTATTTACCCAATTTACTGTTCAGCTTGAGTCATTTATATTGTTCTGTCTTCAAGTTCACTGATTCCTCTGTCACCTCCATCTTGCTGTTGAGCCTGTTCATTGAATTTTTAAAAAAAATTTTGGTAATTATATTTTTTGGTTGTAAAGTGTCCATTTGGTTCTTTGTATCTTTGATTTCCTCACTGACATTTTCTATTTACTTATTTCAAGTATATCCATAATTGCTTATGGAAACATTTGCTGTCTTTTTAAAAAATGTATTTTTACTGATTTTTAGAGAGAGGAAGGGAGAGGGAAAGAGAGAAACATCAATGTGAGAGTGAAACATTGATCGGCTGCCTCCTGCATGGCCCCTACTGGGGATTGAGCTCACAACATGGGCATTTGCCCTGACTGGGAATCTAACCAGCAACCTTTTGGTGCATGGGAGGATGTGTAACCAAGTGAGCCACTGGCCAGGGCTGATTGTCTTTTTAAATTTGAGATTTTCCTGGTTCTTGGTAGGAGGCGTGATTTTGATTGAGTGCTGAACATTTTGGGTGATATGAGACTCTGGACCTTATTTAAATCATCTGTTTTAGCAGGATTCCTCTGACATCCTGTCAATTGTGGGTGGGAGAGGAGTGTCACCTCACTAATGCCAGACAGAGGTAAAGGTCCAAGTTCTCCACTCAGCTTCTTTTGTCAACCCAGGGTGGGGATTTCGGATTCCCGAAGTGGCAGGGATGGGGAGGGGCGCCTTGTTAGAGCTGGGCAAGGGTGAAAGCCTTGGGCACCCATCTGATCTTTGCTTACAGGCGTAGGGGTGGGACCACAATTTTTTCCATGGTATTTGGCTGGAGTAGGTCAGTTAGTATCCAAAAGTTTTCTGTCTTGCTGGATTGCCTTTTTCCTAGTCCTCTGACTAGAGAAAGCAAACATGCTTTTCTTTGGACTTTATTTTGTCTGGGCCCATTGGCATTTCTGGGCTGCTTCTCCAGTACCCAGTCAGGAATATGAGGCAAAAAGAAAACCCAGGGAACTGTCATGTCGATCCTTGGGTTCCAAGGTCCCTAAGTCTGTCTTCTTCTTCCTACTTTTCAGAGTCTTATGTTTTTTTTTTCTTTTAAATCTGTGCTTAGCAGGGGAAATAAAGGGAACTGAATTTACTCCAAGTGTGTCTACTTCACCCTGGTCTGAAACTTCTAGATGCTATACCAAGATTCAGGTAGGCAATAGCAGAATGGGAACCACAGAGGACTCAGGTTGGAGTCCAGCACTCAAACTTTCCAGCGCTTATGATTGGTTAGGTTACTTAATCGCTGTGTTTCCACTTACTCATTGGAAATGCAATTACAGTAATGATACCAAATCTACAAGTTTTCATGGATTGAAATGAACTGATAAACATTTCATACAAATGTTGTTATTTCAAATAAAACTAGGATGAAAGTGAAGGAAAGTGAAGAGGGAATGTCTGGAGAATATTAGGCAGTTCAATTTTTCCCAAGTTGGTTGACAACTTGAGCTGTACATTTAAAGTGTACAGCTTCATATTTTTTTTTTGGTATTAACAGGGTTGTTCAAACATCATCGAAATCTAATTTGAGAGTATTTTTATTTCCCCTCAAAGAATTACCGCACACCCAACCTGCTCAAGATATCTACATCAAGTCCCTGGAACATATGGATGTTACCTTATACAGCGAAAGATGTAATTAAGGCTCTGGAGAGGAGCAGCTTATCCTAGATCATCAGAGTGGGTCTTAAATATAATCACTTGTACCCCTGTAAGTGGGAAGAGAAGGGAATGTTGAGACAGAAAGATACACTTATGAGAAAAAAATGTGAAGACAGAACAGAGAAAGATGTGGCCACAAGCCAAGGAACTGCCACAACCACCAAAAGCTGGAAAGGGCAACGAATGGATTAGTCCCTACAGCAGGGGTAAGGAACCTTTTTTCTGCCAAGGGACATTTCAATATTTATAACATCATTTTCAGGCCATACAAAATTATCAACTTAAAAATTGGCTATGAAAAAAGCTCCTAGATTTATTGAATTTCGAGTCCTGCCTACAGTTGCCTTGGCAGGGCCAGACCAATGATTTTGCACACCGTATATGGCCCGGGGGCTGGACGTTCCCCACCCCTACCCTAGAAGCTCTGGAGGGATCACGGTATTGACAACACCTTGATTCAGACTTCTGGTCTCCAAAACTGTGATAGAATAAATTTCTGTTGTTTTAAACCAACAAGTGTGTGATAATTTGTCACAGTAGCTCCAGGAAACAAATATAGGAACCTTTGGAACATCTAGTCCAACTCTTTTATCTAACAGATGAGAAAACTGGGGCATGAAAAAGAAAATGACCAAGGTCAGTTCTTGGCATGAGAAGTAAAGGACTGGGATTATGGTCTTTCCTCTCCTATTCCACTAAAACACATGGTATGTATGTATTTATTTATTTATTTAAAATACATCTTTATTGATTTCATTAGAGAGGAAGGGAGAGGGAGAGAGAGAGACAGAAACATCAATGATGGGAGAGTCGTCATTGACTGACTGCCTCCTGCACGCCCCCAACTGGGGATTGAACCCGCAACCTGGGCATGTGCACTGACTGGGAATCGAACTGTGATCTCCTGGCTCCTAGGTCAATGCTCAACCATTGAGCCATGCCCGGCCGGGCAGTACATATTTTTTAAAAAACCAATTTTTATTGATATAATTCACGTATCATACAATTCACACATTGAAAGTGTACAGCTTCGTATTTTTTTTGTACATTAACAGGGTTGTTCAAATATCATCAGAATCTAATTTGAGAATATTTTTATTCCCCCTCAAAAGAAACTTTGTACCCATTAGCATTCTGTGTCTTTTATGGCTCCTTATTTCAGGCATATTGATCTCATCTCCCCAACCAGACTGGACTTCTCAACCTTGTCTTTTGTACTCCTCTCATTCCCTATTCTGATCTTCCCTCGGGGCTGTGTTGAATGGTCCCGCCTCACTCATATTAGGTCTGCACTTGGTAGTTTCCTTAATGCTCCTGGTTAGGTTGCTAATCCATAGGATATAGACAAACAACTCACCATTCCCTGAACCAACTGTCAAAAATACCCAGACTGAACGGATCTCCCTTTGTTCCTTGAGAGGCAGGGCCCAGAAACAGCCATGCTGAGTAGCTGGATGGTTTGAGCTCCCACCAGTACCCAGGGGAAATCCAGACTCGGCCACCACTGTCGAGGAAAAGTTTACTCCTGGCTGGGGCGAGCATCTCCAGGTGTCCCTGACGACGGTGTGTGGAAGCCACCATCAGGGATAAGCAGGAAAAACGAAACAGGACATGGCATTGGCGGGAGGCTTTCTCCACATTCCTGATGGTTTCCTTTTGGGGATGGAGGCCCTGTTACTAACACTCCTGGCCTTCCTGCACCCTGGCTTCCACTCCCTTCACACCTTGCCTTGGGTGCAGGGAGAACCTACTTGGATCTGCTTTCTCTAAGTTTTACAGGGGCATGTCCCCATGAATAAGAGGCCTATGGGTTTCCACTGATCATTTTGACAGGAAGGTGAGTCTGTCTAATTCAGAATTTCCCTGTTAGGAAGCCCACTGTGACTGCAAACCTAAGCCGTCTTCCAATGTGGTCTTTATCAGTTATAAAGGCGAGTTTGCCATCTGCCTCATTTCTCATGTCCACTGGTTCTGAACTTGGGTGAGGAAAGAGAGACCTGTTATGTATTCAGGTGGAAAACAGGAGGGGTTATGTACTGACCACTTAAGTCCCAAATACATAAGCCCTCCATAAACTCCGGAGTCCTGAGTTGCAGTAGCTGATTCTCTATGTTAAAACTTAATTAAGGGATGCTCAGATAGTTGGTAAACAATATTTCTGAGTGCATCTAGAGGATATTTCCCCAAAAGATCAGCACTTGAATCAGTAGGCTGAATAAAAAAGAGCCCTCACCACTGCGAGTGGGCATCGCCCAATCTGCTAAAGTCCTTAATAGTACAAAAGGGTGGAAGAAGTGTGAATTTGTTTTCTGCCTGAGTTGGGACATTCATCTTCTCCTGCCCTTGAACATCAGTTCTCCTGGTTCTCAGGCCTTGAGACTCGGACTGAATTATACTGGCTTTCCTGAATCTCCAGATTGCAGGTCATGAGACTTCTCAGCCTCCATAATTACATGAGCCAATTCCTGCAAAACACACACACACACACACACACACGTACTATTGGGTCTGTTACCTTTAAGATAAAGTCCAAATACCACCAAGTAGGTATGGAAGGACAACATGAATGAAGAGTTTATACATTATATTGTCAGGCAGATACCATATGTGGTAGGCTGTGTAATGGCTCCCCACTGATGTTCCATCCTAATCCAAAAACTCGTGGCTATATCTTACATGGTAAAAGGGACTTGGCAGATATGATGAAGTTAAGAATTTTGAAGTGGGAAAATTATACTTGAGTATCTGCGTAGGCCAGATGTAATCATAAGGATCCTTTGAAGAGTCAGACAGAAGGCAATGTGACAACAGCAGAGGGAAAGAGAGAGGAAGAGTGGGAAAGATTGGAAGATGCTACACTGCTGATTTTGAAGATCAGGAAGGGGCCACAACCCAAAGAATATAGGTAGCCTCTAGAAGCTAGAAAGGGCAAGAAAACAGATTCTCCCCTAGGCCCTCCAACAAGAATGCAGTCTTGCCAATCCATTTTAAGACCTCTGATCTCCAGAACTGTAAAATAATAAATTTGTGTTAAGTCACTGAGTTTGTAGTAATTTGTTAGAGCAGCAATAGGAAACTAATACACCATGCTAAGTCTCTCATTTAAAAACAAATAAACCACATTATGCTAGGTGAAATAAGCCAGTCAGAGAAAGACAAGTACCATATAACTTCACTCATATGTGGAATCTAATGAACAA